GTTGCGATGGTATAAAGAAAGGAGCCCCGTGTAAAAAAAGAAGAAAAAAAAAAAAGAAAGAGAAAGAAAGGGAGAAGAAAACAGCTGGAGGAAGAAAAAAGGGGATACGCTTGTGGATGACAAAAGGATGGGTAAGTGAACTTTTGTTGCTGCCTCCTTAGCACAGCTGCAGGTGTACAGTATATTTTTTTCAGCTGGATTATTAGCTGATGGAGAGTGGGGACCAGTCTGAACAGCAGCAGTGCAGTCCTTTGCCAGGTGTTCTTGCTATTATATTTTTCGATTGCGTATCCCCCCCCCTCTGCACAAGCACACACACCTTCCCCCCTGCTACAGTTGTTTTATATGTAATTAATCTGTAAATGCATGCACGGAGCTGACAACCACAGCGAGTCCATTCATGATCCAACTCGCCCATACACCTCTAAATAGGTGTCTGTATCCGTCTGAGGTGCGCACATACGAGATTTCCTTTGGGATTGTGTGCACGTTAGATAAACTTGTATTGAGATTATGCAGGTTGTCGGGAAGGATTGTGAACAGTTTGCAGCATGTGGGAAGTAGGCAAGAGGGGGGTGACTTTGTGGGTTTTGGGAAGGCTGACTTGGTTTGTCAATAAATATCCCTAATATAGCTAGTGGATCTCCAGCAGTCATTTGTCTTATTTTTTCAAGTGTGACAGTTTTAATTTCCATCTCCCTCCCCCAAACTCTGCAACAGCTGGAACATATTTCTCGCTGGCTGCTGCTGGCACACAGGCAAGAGCGAAAGATCAGGATTTAAATTGGAGACCTAACCATTGAAGTGAAAGAGAGAGACACATAAGGGCTTTTTAGATTAAGAATGATTTCACTTACTGGCTCTTGGTTTAACATTGGAATTAATAACTGTAGCACAGGGTGTGTGCATGTGTTTGACAAATAATAAAATGACTATTTACAGAGAAGATAACAGGCCTTTAATGAATTCTGCTGATGGAAGAATGCAGCCAAATGATGGGTGGGACTACAACTCTGGACTGAGCCAGGGGGCCTCAAAATTATGATTTGCTCTGAGAAAGTGTGTGTGTGTGTGTGTGTGTGTGTGTGTGCAGGTTGAAATTTCTGAGACTTGCCACAATTATTCAGAGACTGTGCACAATCTGACTGCTCTCCCAAAGCAGCATAGATAATGCGGAAGGATCAGCCTGATAACTGAAGTGCAAAGCATTCAAATCAGCGGCAGTGAGGAACAGCAAGGGGGGTCCAGATGAAAATATGAGTCTTTAAATGTAAGGCTTTTTGCTGATCTTAATGGAACTGTAAAGATGCTGAAGGGCTTCCTTGGAGTGTGCAAGTTCAGTCGGGGCATTTGCACTCTTGAGACAAGGCTCTGCAGCAGGCTGTGCGCACAGGATGCGTGCACAAGATATGACAGCTGGAAATCTAGGGCAGGAAGCCCAGGAAATAAAAGGGGAAAGCAGCTGGGAAGAGGGGAGCTGAAGGTGTGCGGAGAAGGGTTGCTACTGCGGGCAGAGGAGCCACCAGCTACTGAGTACCCAGGATTGCCTTTACTGAAGGAGCAGGGGTTGTGCAAATGTGTTCCCCTCCCCACTTCAAGATCCCTGAGCGCAGGGAGTCCCTGGAGGGAAGGAGGGAGAGGGGTTGCTAGAGTATATTTTCTGGGAGAGCTGCAGAAAGCAGCTGTGTGGGAGCTCCAGCAGAGAGCTCAATAACCTACAGCTGAGAGAGGTGATCCAGGTGTCAACCACAGGAGAGCTGCCTTGGGAAATGTCTGGGGATCTGTGTGAGTGATTGCAAGTGCCCAGGAAAGACTGGACAAGGGAATAATCTCTGGCCTCCAGAGCAGCCACACTCCTGATAGGCCCCCCACCTCTTCTGTCCAGATGACGGCATCAACACCCCTCTTGTGAGGCAGA